GGGTAGCTAATATATATAAACTTTCGGCATTGAGCTAGTTTTTCACTGTCCCCAAACAAGGTAATCTTGCCTAAGCACTAGAATATAGCTTATGATAGGAGCTTTCCTGAAAAAAACCGCGTAATATTAAATTCTAGTAAACTATCCCTGGTACACCTTTTAGTAGACAGACTTTTAAACATTGCCCCTGAACAAATATGCCATAGCATAATTCTGACTAAAACAGAAAAGAATCAATAGAATATGTGCTTTTCTGAGCATCTAAACCAACCAAATTTTATTTGCTCATATAGTCTACAATGGCTTCAGAATATGTAACTCTGGAGAGCCCATTTGGAATATAAAACACATGAAAAACTAATAGTTAAAAATGCTTGTTTTATCAATTATCAGTTCTAGATCATTACCAATACCTGTTATAAATAACACCTCTGGAACCACCAATCAGCTTAAGAATTCTTAATTGCTCAGAAGTGTGCTATATAAGTTGCTTAAAAAAGACCTTTTAAAATTTTGGAACAAATTACTTATAAAGAAATTGATTAGTGAAAATTCTTTCCATTCCACTAATGTATCAAGAATGTAATAATATTGGTCTAACAGTGTTTGATGCAATTAAAAGAGAACTGAGTATAGGACACACCTTCTTGCAAATTTGTCTTTAATACACAAAGTTGCAGTTGTGAATTAACTGATTCCTTATTGATTCTCTCATGTACCCATGCATAAAAATCTAAGTTTCTCTTGGCTTCAGAATACTATTTGGATTTTATTTCAGAATTTAAAATAAATAGTAAAATAGTTTTTAAAAGAGTAATCTTTTCTATGTAGTTTTGTTAATTTAATAAGCCTATAATAAAGAAAACAATAAGCAAAGTGTTAACACAATAAACGTCAAAATAAACAGATAATAATTGAGAGAAAACTGCTCTTATGCTTACTGACTAGGAATCCCAATTTTAAATAAGACTAAAGGAAAAATAGTAATATGATTAAATAATGTAGCACACGCATTACATGCTAACATAAATAGCACTTGTATGAAAAACAACTATTTTCCATGACAAAAAAAAGTAATGAGAAGAATGATACTCTTACATATTTATAAATCTTTTTAATATGTGGCTAAACAGAAGACAAGTTTGTTTGTTTGAGACGGAGTTTCGCTGTGTCATCAGGCTGGAGTGTAGCGGCACGACCTTGGCTCACTGCAACTTCTGCCTCCCAGGTTCAAGCGATTCTCCTGCCTCAGCCTCTCAAGTAGCTGGGACCACAGGTGTGCACCACCATGCCCGGTTAATTTTTATATTTTTGGTAGAGACGGGGTTTCACCATGTTGGCCAGGATGGTCTTGATCTCTTGACCTCGTGATCTGCCCACCTCAGCCTCCCAAAGTTCTGGGATTATAGGCATGAGCCACGGCACCTGGCCTCAAGACAGGTTATTTTTTTTATACAGTTCTTCCTTGGTACTTCTGGTGGATTGGTTCCAGGACACCCTCAAATACGAAAATCCACAGACGCTTAAGTATCTGATACGAAATGGTGTAGCATTTGCATAGATCCTATGCACATCCTACTGCACATTTTAAACCATCTGTAGATTACTTATGATACCTAATAAAATGTAAATGCTATGTAAATAGTTGTCATACTATATTGTTTAGAGAATAATGACAACAAAACAAAGTTCATACCAGTTCAATACGGAAGCAACCATCCTTTTTTATATTTACATTTGAGGTTGGTTGAATCCACAGATGCAAAGGGCCAGCTCCTTACGCTTCTGCATCCAATTTCATGTCATACAGCCTCTGGAAAACTCCACTGTACATAGGTAGTTGCCTTATGACTGTCTGGCTTACATTTTTTTTTTTTTTTTTTTTTTTTTTTTNAAGTAAGAGTCTCGCTCTGTTGCTCGGCTGGAGTGCCGTGGCATAATCTCGGCTCACTGCAACCTCTGTCTCCCAAGTTCAAGTGATTCTCTGCCTCAGCCTCCCGAGTAGCTGGGACTACAAGCGCGAGCTACCACACCCGGCTAATTTTTGTATTTTTAGTAGAGAGAGGGTTTCACCAAGTTGGCTAGGACGGTCTCCATCTCTTGACCCCATGATCCACCTGCCTGGGCCTCCCAAAGTGCTGGGATTACGGGCATGAGCCATCGCACCAAGCCAATTTTTTGATGGTGGCAAAGTGATTCTCATTCAGCAGAAACGATACTTCAAATACCCAGACAACCATTCTGTTTTTCACTTTCAATGTCAACAGTCAATAAATTTCAGGAGACACAGTGTTCACCACTTTATTATACAAGAGGCTTTGGGGTAGATGATTTTTCAAATTGTAAGTGTTTTGATCATGTTTAAGGTAGAGTAGGCTAAACTATGGTGGGGTTAGGTGTATTAAACTCATTTTTGTCTTATGATATTTTCAATTTACAATGGGTTCATTTGGTTGTAACCCCACTGTAAGTCTAAGAATATCTATATACCCGTCAGAGAATGACAGTGAAAAGGCAAGTGATACTTAAAGATTATGAAAATGATTTTAACCCTGTGGATACTGTGAAAGGATTTCAGCGCTTCCTTCCTCTAGGGGCTCCTGTACTTTGAGAACAACTGTTACTATGTTTAAGGATTTTAAAACATATCTCTTTCAGTTTTAAATTAGCTTAAAATATACGTCGTCTCAGGCCAGGCGCAGTGGCTCACCTGAGGTCAGGAGTTCTAGACCAGCCTGACCAACATGATGAAACCCTGTCTCTACTAAAAATACAAAAATTAGCTGGGCATGGTGGCAGGCACCTGTAATCCCAGCTACTCTGAAGGCTGAGGCACGAGAATCGCTTGAACCCAGGAGGCAGAGGTTGCAGTGAGCCAAGATTGTGCCACTGCACTCTAGGCTGCCTGAGAGTGAAACAGTGTCTCAAAAATGAATAAATACATAAAAATAAAAAATAAACATCGTCTCAGGATTTTGTCTTTTAAGACACCCCACACTAAAAATTAAAAAAAAAAAAACAACTGCATTAGAATCACAGATAATCAACTGAGAAAAAGAAAATTCTGAATACAAAATACTACATAACACAGGATCAAGAAAAGTGTTTTAAGATCACAAAGGTCAGCTGTATGAATTTTGTTGTGTCATTTAACATCCTGGTTCTTTTAGTTTTTTCATCTATAAAACAGAGATAGAGGCTGAAATGAGAGGATCATTTGAGCCTGGGAGGTGGAGGCTAGAGTGAGCTGTGATCAAGTCATTGTACTAAGCAAGAGCCTCCACCCCATCTCCCCCCAAAGAAAGATTACGGTTTTATGAGGGTTAAATAAAAGCCAAATGCTAACAACTACATCCTGTATATAAAAGCTTGGTCAGTGTTACCTATAGTTACAATTATCATCTTTAACAAATCCTAAAATATTAAATCTGAGACCTTTGTTCAACAAACTAATGTCTACCCAAATCTATCCCAACAAAATGCACTGATTATTACTTCATTACCTCAGAATTTACTCTTCGCTTTTGTCTATCCTTACAGGAATTTAATCAGATATGGGTTTAAAACAGAAAATAAATGAAAAAACTTGATTATCCAATAGTCTGTAAGCGAATAGACTTGACGACAACGTTTATAAACCGAAAAGAACTTTTCAAAACTATTCAGTAATTTCCTTATTCACAGACGAAGCAACCATGAACTACTTATAAATTAACTTTTCCGTAGCCATATGGAGAACGGTAGAACTGTTCCTAACAAAATTTCTTCAATAGGCCTGTAAACCGTTACTAATTCTCTTGGTCTGAATATTCATCAAGTGCGGGAGGGAAGATGGTTAAGAAGCCAAGGACACTTGCTGTCCTCCTCTACAACTGGTTACTAAGAAGTCAAATAACTTCAGAGCTGTATTTTTTGACAACCAAAAAGTCACAGTAGGCCGGCGCGGTGGCTCACACCTGTAATCCTAGCACTTTGGAAGGCCGAGGTGGGCGGATCACCTGAGGTGGGAGGATCAATTGAGGTGGGTGGATCACTTGAGGTGGGTGGATCACCTGAAGTGGGTAGTTCAAGACCATCCTGATCAACATGGTGAAACCGAATCCCTACTGAAAATACAAAATTAGTTGGGCGTGATGGCGCGCGCCTGTAATCCCAGTTGCTAGGTAAGCTGAGGCAGGAGAATCGCTTGAACCTGGGAGACTGCGCCACCGCACTTCAGCCTGGGCGGTAAGAGCGAAACTCCATCTCAAAAAAAAAAAAAAAAAAAAGTCACAGTAATCGTATCTTTCCTGTGAATACACAATGTTCAAACGCGCTTTTCACATGAGGGGGAAGATTATTAAAACATTCAGAGTTACGAATATCAAAAGCTGGGCGCGGTGGCTCACGCCTGAAATCTGCAGACCGACCAGAGGAACGAGGCGACACCCGTGTGTATTCAAAACCACCAAACAAAAAACGGAGTATCTGGCGTCCTTTACATTTAATCCTTGTAATAAAGCAGCCCCAGGCGACCTCTCACTCACTCATCACTTCCGCACAGACCGTGGGATCCCTTATTGACGCCGCAGCGGCATCATTTGAGGAGCACGAGCGAATGCGTCTAAAGCAGCTCGCATCCGATCGCCAGAAGCCGAGAAACGCGAGACCGGGCTCCGGGCGAGCGTCCCTCCCTCCAACCGTCAGCACGGCGCTAAAAAGGCGCACCCCACAGCCTCCACCGCCGCGGGCCAAGCGCCGCCTCCCGGGGCCGGGGCCTCCGCCTCCAGGGGCCGCCCAAGGAGGCGGGCCCGACGCAGCCCCGGCGTGCGGCCCCTCCCCGCCGCCGGCCCGGCCTCCGGGGAAGCCCCCTTGGTCCCACCCAGGGCCAGGGCCCGCCCCCCGCTTCGCCGGCCTCCTTCCTGTGGGAAGTGCGGCTCCTTTCGCGTCCCCTACCCTCAGCTCCGCCAGCCCGCCCCCTCGCCGCGGGCGAGGTCTCACCTCGCCACCAGTACGTCTTGGACAGGTAGTGCCAGGTCTGATGCCGGGTGTGGTGGGTGCCGCCCGGACCCAGGTGCGCCGCTTCGATGAGGTCCCGGCGCCGCTCCGGCTGCAGCACCACCTCCAGCTCCGCGAAGGTCTTGCGGTGCCGCTGCCGCCGCTGGTAATACAGAGTCCCACCGCGCACCACGTAGCAGGCGGCAGCTTTCCGGATTTTACGCTTGACATTGCCCTCGGTGCCCGGGGCGTACGGCTCGCGCTCATTCGTCAGGTACCGCAGGATGGCCCGGTAGCTTTCCTCGCTTGACATCGCGGACCACGGCTCCCTGAGGGCGCCTGTCAGGGGCAGGTGAGGAAAACAGCGCACTACCTACGCGCGGCTGCAGCAGGAGCGGAGGCGCCGTGGGGAGAAACGGCTGCGCCTTTGGCGAGCACTCTTCGACGGCTCCCTCAGTGCGAAGGGAAAGCGGACGAGTTGGTAACCAGGGGGAACTGCACTTCTCCAGCGCGCGGGATCCGCTGGCGACTGACAAAATGGCTGCTGCACCACCGGAAGTGACGCAAGCCACGGGCGGGGACTGAGCCCTGATTGGAGCACACGCTGGTTTTCTGGCTTGATGGAGACGATCGAGTGACGTCAGGAATGCGGGTGGACATTTTGGAAGCGGGTAGAATCTTCATGGCAGCTCGAAGGGTCTTTAAGCAGACATCTTAAGTCCTGGCAGTTTCTCTTTTCATTTTTCCCTTCTTTTCCACGCTTTCTAATGAGCCACGTGTAGGGGGAGCTGCTGGGCAGTTGTGAGCTCATCGGAGACATCTAGACTGGTAAAGGACTCCGTTTTTCCGTTTACCTGGAGACTCCCAACATCATAAAAACATCACATTTTCAGGCTCTTGGAAAAATATTAGTCTCGACACGAGACCAGAGACAGCCCCATTCACATGGAAATTTAGATTCCAGTTAACAGAAAATTTTCAGTGATTCCCTCAGTGATGAGTTATTGTTTCTAAACTTGGAACTGCTTGCTCGACTACTCAAGGAACCGTCGAGATTTTTCTGGAATGATCAGCATATATAGTCAATCTTATTGGGAGTGGAAAAGGGGGTCGGTAACACTTTTCCTAAAGCTTTATTTACATACCTTTTTACACGAACGTAGGGGAAAACGTTTTCCATTCTGCACCGTTGTACTAATGGCACGAGAAAGGCAGTGGGCTTGAACTGCGTTTCCCAGTGCGTGCTGAGAATCCTAATTAAGATATTTAGCTGGTAATTCCGGAACAGCGATCTCGGTCACCCTTTCCTGGAACCAATCTGCAGCGCTCACAGGAGCCTCCTCTGCGACTGGGATTGGCCACTGTCACCGCTTTGCTAAAGCCAGGCAATTTCAGGCCGAGGGCTCCAGCTGGAGACATAGCTAGTACACTTCCCCACCAGGGGGTCTGTAGTCTCTGGGTGAGGCCCTTTGACCTTGTAGAAGTAGCTGTCAGGTGAATACAATAGGCTCGAAAACTGAATGATACACCCAGTCTCTGGTGTTAGGAACGTGTTTGTGTGTGTGTGAACATGCAGTAATTCCCAGACGGCCCGGACATTCTTGAAAGATTCTAGGTGCAGGGACATGAGCTCCCCAAGGCCCAGAGGAAAAACAAAACTACTAGGCCTGGGATCTACTTAGTTGCCGACTTTGCCACTATAGCTGAAAGGAGGAATTAAAAAATGGAGATGCACCTCTTCCCCCATGGGGTGGGGCGGTGAGAGCAGAAGACCAAATGCACCCTCTGTACATGTCGGGCCAGCCCCACTCTCCTGTCCCATTGCCGGTCTTTAAAATGAAATGTTTTAAGTGAATTGATATTTAATATTAAACATTTAATATATTTAGTGAATACATTCAAATGAAATTAAACAATACAGATAGCATGTATGAGAGCCAAGTTAAAGAATCCGTCCACTCAATTTAGTTTTTGCCAGAACATCACCTGTAAGCACTGAGAAGCCCACTAATGCATGCATTATCCTTTCGGCCAATGGAAACAAACGTTTTAATAACATGCTTTCCCAGTGGTCAAATTGTCTTCCTAAGCAAAGCTAAATTTGCTGTAGTGAGATTTATTTCTAGCTTCTTCTGGGTCCCAGGTTACCGAAGACTCAAGGGTAATCAGAATGGGCAGTTACACTTTATTAAAAGCCAACATTTAGCCCAGAAAAGCAATACTTTAAGAGGATGTTTTATTCTCCAAAAATTAGCAAGCATAGCTTTACATTCAAGTTGGGTATAATGACTATTTTCCCAGTAATTCCCTAAATAAAACATCATTACAAAAAAGGGTTTTTCCTATGCAAAACCTTAACATTCTTTTATGAGCAAAAGCCTGTATTTTACATATATATATACATACATATATATATTTGAGATGGAGTCTTGCACTGTCAACCAGGCTGTAGTGCAGTGGCAATTTTGGCTCACTGCAATCTCCGCCTCCTGGGTTCAAGCAATTCTCCTGCCTCAGCCTCCCAAGTGGCTGGGACTACAGGTGTACGCCACCATGCCCAGCTAATTTTTTTGTTTTTAGTAGACAAGGTTTCACCATGTTGGCCAGGATGGTCTCCATCTCCTGACTTCATGATCCGCTTGCCTCAGCCTCCCAGAGTGCTGGGATTACAGGCATGAGCCACTGCACTGCATACGCATTTCTTAATACTGATTTTAGTTTGTTTTCAGTTACCAAAAGGACTTACTCATTTTATCCATAACACTTGGATGTCTGAATGTAACATGCACTAGAAAAAGAAAATTCTATCACCTTGGATAGAATAGGGATAGAGGAAAATGTTGACATTGACTATATACCCTCACCTATTATTCTCTGTAAAATCATGTTTCCCTAAAGAGGACTATGATTTGTCCAGTTGTATCCTTGCAACTTGGCACAGGTTGGCAGGTAAAAACGATCTACTTTCTGTAGAAGTACAAGCCTATTCTTCACATGTAAGTTTTGATTACTACTATTTTATCACATCTTAAATATGTAAATATCATATTTAAACATCACCTGTAAGCACTGAGAATATCAGTTTATTCAGACATTTTAACACGGCTCTGGGAATTTAGCTAAGGGTACTCTTTACCCAAGCAGCAGTGCTTTTCATTTAGGCATTACTTTCTGAAAATAAGAGTGGATTAATACAGCTGATAGTTTAGGCACCTTCAACTCAGCTATTAGCAAATGGTAGGTGATATACCAATGGCTACAAGCAAACCAATTTAAACTAAATTTGTCTATCATGGGAAACGTTAATTTAATAAGGAAATCATTTAAAAAGTACATCTTTTGTTTTTTTGAGACAGGGTCTTGCTCTGTCACCCAGGCTGGAGTGCAGTGGCACGATTTCATCTGCAGCCTCAACCTCCCTGGCTCAAACTGTCCTTTCCACCTAAGCTTCCTAAGTAGCTGAGACTATGGACACCTGCCACCATGCCTGGCTCACTTTCGTGTTTTTGTAGAGATGAGGTTTCGCCATGTCACTCAGGCTGGTCTTGAACTCCTGAGCTCAATTGATCAGCTCACCTTGGTCTCCTAAGTGTTGGGATTACAGGTGTGAGCCACTGCACGAACATCCTAATACTTACAGCCATGTACCAATAAGTTAAGGCAATGAAGTTTTTGTAACGTGCCCTATACACCCCAGCTAAGGAAGCATCTGACTATACCCATCTTCTTACATCACTTTGCTTAACCACTCTCCAAGGAAGAAGCTTACTTTAGGATGCATTATTCCTGAGCAAGACTTAATAAAATAGCGACATCTTACATTCTTAACATTACTAGTTCACCTATGACCATGTAAAGTCCAACATGGCTGTTTATGAGAATAAAAATATCCAGCACAATCTAGAGTTATAATCCAATCTTTATTTAAAAATCTAATCTGCCAGCTTAGCGTTTTCCACCAACTCGGGGAGCTGAAACTTTCACAGGCTTCACAATCTTTTGCTTAGGTGCTGCCTTTGTAGGTGCCTGTAAAAAGATAATGTGACATTATTTCACAAAACTTCTGTCACCCTATTATTACCCATCTTTCACATCCAAATTATTTATGTATCTTAGATCACTTTCTTAATAATTTAACTGTATTTCTAGTGCCAATCTTTTAATGTGAATCCCCTTAAATATTTTTTTTTTTTTTTTTTTTTTT